GTGTGTGTGTGTGTGTGTGTGTGTGTGTGTGTGTGTGTGTGTGTGTGTAGACAGTAGGAAGTAGAAAAAGAATGTTCCATCCTTTTCTGCTAGTGAGATGCCAGTGCCATCTATTTATTTTTCATCAAAGCATTGCTTGAATATGGCTAGAACATCAAATGGTACTAATAGCTGTATTAAGAAAAAGCTGTGCCCATCTCCCTTGGTGACTCTGATGAGTGTTTTTCTTATCTGTGTATACTTTTCCCCCCTGAAGTTACAAATTTGCTGTTTTTAAGTTTTCTGGGAAACTGCAGTGAACTTATTTTTTTACATGTACTACAGATCTATTTTTCCAGTGCTCAAATAACATATTAGTTTTTTTGTTTTATTTTGTTTTTTCCCAGTGCTGGGGATTGAATCCAGGGCATTGTGCCTGCGAGGCAAACACTCTACCATTGAGCTATATCCCTAGTCCTTTTATTTGTATTTCTTAATCGGAGGCAGGGTCTCATTCTGTTGCCCAGGCTGACCTCAAAGTTGGGCTCCTTTTACCTCAATTCTCAAGTAGCTGGGAGGATTTTTGCACAAGGGTACATTTTTTTTATTATTTTAAAAAATATACCCCTCTTATTCCCATTGGGTTCCTTGGTCACCAGAACAGTATTCAGCTCTCTCCTCCCCTCTCTTGCTTTACTTCCTTCCTTCCCCTGCTCTCACATTTTTCTCTCCTCCTTTTCCTTCTCTTTATTTCTTGGGTCCTTAGTTATTTTCTTTTGTTTCCCAAGAAAAGGAGCACATGATACAGATTTTGTGCATGTTTATGTGTCAAAAGATCTTTATTGTATTTCCTCGAAATTAAATAGTAGGCTGAAATTATTTTCATGGGGACGTTTGAAGGCACTGCTGTATTTTCTCTGGCTTTCAGTGTTGTTAGAAAGCCCAGCTTTCTTAACTCCAGAGCCTTTGTATGTGATCTGGTTTTTCTCTGAGGGGTTTCTTTGTCTTTAAATTTTAGCAGTGCCATTATGATGTGTCTGGATGTGGATTTCTTTGGCTTTACTTTGTTTGTGGTTCACTAAGCTTCTTGCATCTGTTTTTGGCTTTTGACAAGTTTGGGAAATTTTCTGCATTACATCCATCATTCTGGAACTCTGATGGCAAAATGACAGAATGTCAGCCCTTTATCATTGCCTGTAGGTCTCTTTTCCTGCCAACCATTAACTTTCTACAAAGTGAAACCTTCCATTCTCCTTCCAAGGTGAAATTTCCAGTGAGTGGTCAAGAGAGTGGAGAAGACTGGCTGATGAGGTGCGGAAAGTTATACTTGTAGGGGATAATTTGGATGAACTGAGACAGAATTGTTTGATTCATGGAAAATAAGGAGGTTAAGAAACAAATACAGGGAAGCCCTAGGTATAAACAATACCAGAAAAGTATAGTTTTGATAATTCATTGGCTCAGCATTGAATATTTCCATGGATATATTGTAGATCACAGAATATTAATTTAATACATATGTTTTGTAGCTGTGTTGGGAGAATAGAGCAAGGAGGCATAGGGCTAAGACTGGAAAAGAGAAAAGTGCTATATAAGAAATAGCAACGTAAGCATAGATGTTTAGGAAAAGGGAGTTACTTCTGAAGCTGCTTGACAGCTGCTTTTTGGTTCAAAACCGTGTCATATTCTCTGAGTTCCTAAGCTAAGCATGTGCTTAACTGAGCTTGGAAGCCCGTGGAAAGGCCCCACTTGTGGGGAGAGGTTGAATTATGACAGGGAGGGGCAGTTAACCCTCAGCACCCTCTGGAATTGACTGCATTGGTGAAGAACTTGTTTTGGGGAGGAGGAGTCCCCTCCCATCCAGCAGTCTAACTTTTTCCATGCTTTCTGATTTGAAAATGGAATCTATCGAAAGTAATGCTTGCAGCCATTCTCACATTGTGGTACATGGGGCCCCAGGAGTCCCTGAGGTTGGACTGTTTTTATATGCCCTCAAGATGTTATTTGCCCTTTTCCCCATGTCAACACCTTCACTGATGGTGGAAAAGCAATGTAGGTAAAAATAACTTCTTCTGGAGCCTTAGCACAGATCAAAGCAGTGACTGAACTCTGTGCTGCTGATCTTTTGCAGTTTAAAAAAATCTGATTTGTAAGATTGTCCTTGACAGGACAGAAGAGTGTATTAATTTCATTAAATTTCAACCACTGAATGCACATGTTAAGAAATTTTTGTGAGATGAAATGGGATGTTGCTGGGAAGTGCTGTTGCTTAGTGGGGAGCTGCTGGCTGCAGGGATTGGTGAACAGCACCCCCACAGCATGCACAGCTGTGGGGAGCACTGCTTCTGCAGTAGGTGCGGCTGTTGGGCAGTAGGGGTGGGGACAGGGCTTCAGCAGAGGTGCACCTGCTGGCTGGCAGGGGCTGGTGGGTGGGAGAAACACCTCGGCAGCAGGTGCGACTGTGAGCTGGGCTTGTGCTCTTTTCTTCACACATCTTCTCACATGAAGAAATGACACAGACCTGGGTATTTGACAGGAAAATAAAATGATCCTGTCATGTTTCCAGTGGTAAAATTTGAGATTTCAAATAAAAATATTAGAATTAAGAAGACTCTTCTGAAGAGATCATGGTGATGGTATTGAACTAAAAAAAAATACTAGGGAAGGCCAGCATAGCTCTTTGAACCAATGATTTCAGGTGGCCAGTGCCCATCATTACGGAGTCATCTGTGGGTCAGATAGCCACTTATGGTTCCACAGGACCAGTCCCCATTTGTTGACATGGCCTCAGGTACTACATTGCAAGTAATCTTAAAAGTGTTACTGCTTGTTGAATTTTGACATTGTGTCAAAGGAAATACCCTGACTAGCTAAATCTCCATTTAAATACTTCTCTATTAGTCATAAATATTTGTGTGAGAGGAGATTTCCTTCATAGGCCTTAACTGAAATCCCACATTGCAACAGATGAGTACAGAAACAGGAGGGTCAGGACATCTATTAAACCTGAAACTATTGTTGTTGTTGTTGTTGTTATTGTTGTTGTTATCATTATCATTGCCTTTTGGTACCAGGGATCAAACTCAGAACCTTGTGCTTTCAAGGCAGGCAGCGGTGCCACTGAGCTAAATTCCTTGCTCTTAAACGTGAAACTAAAAAAATTTGTAAAAAATGTCAGCAATGTTACGGTTCTTATTAAATTTGAGAAACCATACTTATTTCTCATTATATTCATGTTAAAATATAAGGGATTTATTACTTTTTGATGAATGAATAAATACATTAAAAGTTTTTCTCATCTTAATTTTTTAAAATTAATTTTATTGGTACATTTTAAATATACAATATAATGACATTTATCATTGGAAATTTGTACTTTTACATAATCTATCTTGGTTTAATTTCTAATATAGCAAATACCAGTAGATTCTATCACAGAAATAAAAGATTGTTGGGTTCCTCTGTCATTTTAAAGAGTGGAAGGGAGGCCTAAGACCAAACAAGCTTGAGACCTTTTGGCTTAGAATTATTGACACTAGAAGCCACTCCAGAAGTTGCAAACCAAGGACATATATGCATGTTTGTAAATTGATTTTTTTGTGTGGGAGAATTTAGAGAATAGAGAAAAAACATTAAAATTTGTCATTCCTTTGTCCCTTCCTTTCTCTTTCCTGCCCTTGCATCCAGGAGAGCTGCAGTTTGAATGAGGGTTCAGTGTGATCCCTGTGGGGTCCCTTGTGCCAGCGTCTGTCCTGATACAGGCACAACTAAGCCTTCCCCACTGAGCCTGAACATGGCACAGGAACAGAAATGAGGTTCAGGAAAGTGGCAGGTGCTGAAATACAAGCAAACATGGTCAGAAGGAAAGCAATCCCAGTGGCAGCAGTTTTCATAAAATAGTCTTGTGGTTATTAGCAGGTCCGTAAGTGGTTAAATGCAGCCAAACCTGAAGTCACATTGGTGACTTTGAAGTGTGTGGAAGAGGAAGCTCCTGGAAAGAGAGCTTTGGCTGTGGAGGAAGTGCATGTGTAAAGAGCTTTTTCCTTTTCAATTCTTCTGCAGATCCTCTGTCAATGGGTCCTCAGAAAGCCCTGGAAACCATCGGTGCAAATTTACAGAAGCAGTATGAGAACTGGCAGCCGAGGGTAAGCCTGGTTTACTTGGTGTTCCCTTTCTTTCTTGTGAGGAAGTTTCGATTTCTTGGTCTCAAGCCGTCTTTGAGTTCAACTGAGAATTCTCTGCAGATCCTCACCTCATATATCCAAAGATTGCATGCTCCTTGCACACTTGCAAGTCATCACTTAGCCTACTGATGTGTACACGTTTTGTTTGTAATGACAATGCTTGAATTATTGTGAGCTATGCACAGGTAGTCTGTTTCATGCAGTTTCCTCACAGACTTTTGTGAAAAGAAATTTTTCATGTTACCCTTAAATTGTAGATTTTATTTTGCACAGGAAATGTTTTTTCAGTAACTCTTGTGTAACCGCAGCTAGGTAGAGCTGTATCCTTCCTATCTTCAGTTTTCAGACAGGAGAGAAAAAAGTACCCAGTGTTCAAAGGATGACACCTATTATGCACTCAGTCTTTGATTCAGAAGGTAGGTTTCTTTTTAGGGAACCAGTTACCAATTAGTGTTTTTTTGTTGCTTATATCTTACAGGTTTTTCTCTCTCTCCTTCCCTTTTTCCCTCCCTCACTCCCTCCCTCCCTCTTTCTTAAACAAAAGAAGCATAGAATATAACTGTATCATGTTGCCTTTAAGATCTAGGAATTTGTAAACTACCCATTGACCTATTTCCTTTATCCCTTTTTGTAAACCAGCTTGAGCTTATTGAATTTAGTAGAAAATTAGACATTTGGCATATTTATTGAGGTGCCCATATTATATTCAGTTTTGTGTGATGGCTTGATTTGGAAATTATGAATAAAGGAGTATTAGGAAGAAGGTAGATTAGGCAGGTGGCCTTACCTGTGCACCTCCTGTAGGTTTTATTCTCTTTTTGGCTATAAGCCTGATGGAAACAAGTGATTTATGGAACCTACTTAATACTTGCCTGCTTGGGAGTTTGATTTGTAGATCATTTATCCAAATGATCTGGAATTTAGGGATTACTTGTGTATTATTTACATTCTTGGAATAAGAGGATAGGCAGAAATGAATTTGTTCCTGACTTTAACAGTGCCCTTAGGTAGTTTCTCTTGGAGCTCGTGGTGAGGATCCATCTATGTGTCTTTGAGGTTTGCATTTCTAACTTGTCAAGTCAATGATGATGGACCTTTATTCTTTAGAAGGCAGGGTTCTCAGTGGTTATTTTGATAAGTACCTAAAGGTTTTGCTTTTTCCTCTCTTGAGTCTGTTACCTCTTGATGGTTTATATAAAAATTCAGTACTTTTTTCTTGAGAGTGCAATGCATTTGGGAGTTGGGTGAGCACTGGAGCAATATTTTGATGGTATATTCCTTTAAAGATAGTTGAGATGGATAGTGTTTCATGGAGAAATAGCTTCTTTGAGGACTGTGAAGATATCCAGGATCTCAGCAAGGCGAGACGGCACTTAAGGGAGAATGGGGCAGAGTGGCAACATTGGGAGATGTGATGTTGTTACCAGTACTGCCCTCATTTAAAGAAACGCCTCTGACTCAGCTGCTTCTGGCTTCTTCTGAGTTTGACTTTTCTTTCGCTTTTTCCTGAGTCCTTTAAGATAGTATGTAACTTCAGGCCTTCCCATTATATATGTAGAATGTAACCAAATACCTTCAGATCTTGGGGTTCTTTCCTAAATGAGCCTGTGCTGTTTTAATTGCTTTCTTCTTTTTAAAGAAGTATGCCATAAGAAAATAATAGTCTTTCAGGATACATAAACTTCATATTCCAGGACATTACAGATTTATTCTACTTAATATGACTTACAATTTTTTTTTTTTGAGTGCCAAGAGATTATTTACTGTTTGCTTTGTTATTAGTTTGACTTGGAAGGTGTCAGCCAGTTCACCTAGCTGTCAATAAATGTAATCTTCTAAAGTAAGACTGACTATAAATTTTAATATAAATTTCTAACAGCATATGTCTTCCATGGTATCCCAGACACAAAGAGCAGTGTGGAATCACGTGTAGGATGAGATCATCATGGCCTGGCCATGCTGGGGTGGCAAGCACTGGTCTAGAGGATGCAGCCCTCGGTTAATTAATTGTCTGTCACCTGGGAAAACTGGTTACAGTCCATAGGATTCAAGAACAGATCTGCAAAATGATTTTCTATAAACGAGAGTTTGAAGGGCTGGTGAGATGGAGAGTGTTTAAAGATTATAGGATGCTTAGGAAGAGGTGCCAGTGAACCAGTGCAGGTGGGATTCCATCTGGGTTGATTCATAAAGTAGAATCTGGAGTAAAGTATCACTTGCCACCTAGCAAGAATCTGTTTATGCGAACAGAGCAGGGTCTTCTCCTGCATTCAGTAAGCCAAGCCACAACCAAGAGTATTTCATTGTTTTCTTTTTGAATGCCAAGAGTTTGGATTCATTTTTATATATGCTAAAAATGTTTTAAATTTCCTGCTACAATCCATTGCAGGGACTTCCGTATTTCAGAAACAAGTCTAAGTAATGGATGTGGCAGGAGAGCTCTGACTGGTTCATGGATGTCAAATGCAAGGTTGTACCATAAGCAGTTGGTAATAATAGCTCATGCCCCTGGGCATGTGGTACTTCCTGTGAATTGTAGGAGAGAGTGAAGGGCTTGGCATCCATAGCAGTCCTTCTCAGTGGGTGGCAGACCTCATGCTGTCTTACAGAGTTTGCACAAAACATGAGGCAATTTCTAAGCTCAGATGCGTGGCACAAGGTACCTGATCTCCAACTGTAAATCAGGGTGCTTTGAAACATTGCAGAGCTAAACACACATCATTTTATTGCACTCTGCAGGGCTTTCCAGCTTCTGCAGCAATAAAGAGAGGTCGATGTGTGATGTGCCATCTGCAACAAAACAATGGAGGTGTTATTAAATTTCCTAGGCCTTTGATGTAAAGACCCATAGATCTGGTTTTCTCTTCTCTGTATCTTTTATTGCAAGACTTACAAAGGTCAGGCAATTTGCAATAAGGTCATTTTCATGAATGTTTGCTGAAATCAATGCCTGCTGTGGGTGGGGACATACGAAGGGGTGCCCATTAGTCTCAGCAGCAGCTCCCATCTAGGAGATGTGGAAGACTGGCCACCAGCAACTTACCCTTGCCACAGGGGTGCCTTGTGGACTAATGGTTTCCTGCCTGGCACTAAATTTCTCAGGCTTTTTCCTCCTGACTTTTCTAGCTGTGACTCTTTGAGATTAGATATTTTGGTAAAGGTGATCCTGGTTCAGGAAGGAATTTAGAGAAACTATGATGATTGTATTTATTTCTGAAGGCTGCCAGACTCTTTCTGGCTCGTATTTCCTTGCTAGCTGATTGAACCTTTTCTAAATAATGTATTAGTTTGCCACTGGTAAAATATTTCTTCTGGCTAAATTTAATATGACTTTGTCTTATTACCTTTAGGTACATAAATCTATGTTCTGCAGGAGATTGAAGGAAAGATGCCAACCATTGTTTTGGCTGGAAACAGCCTTTGTTTAGTCATGAGCCTCAAACAAAAGTTGTGTTGGGAGCTCAAGAGTAGAAACTTATGGAGCTGAGAGTATACAGTGAAGATAAGAATGTGTCTAACAGCGAGTTCCAGGTCAGACTCAACTACATAGTGAGACTCTGTCTCCAAAAAACAAAACAAAACAGAATGTGTCTAACAAGTTGAGGGCTGGCAATTCAGTGCAAGATGTTAATTTAGGACTTGGAGCTGAGGGTAGGAGCCAGTAGGATGAGACCTCCCCGCAAAGGATCTTTCCCCCAAACCAGGGGCAGAAAGATCCACACTCTACTCAGGTGAGTTTCAATTCTTTTGGTGGCTTACAAGAATAGTTACAATTTACTAACAAAGATGAAGAGATTTGTGGAACTTCCACAGATGGCAGATATCTGAGGTGGCTGCTGGTTGAGTCCATTTGTCCAGTGCATGTGTCCAGAAAAAGGGCTGGACATGCCCTTAGTTGTGAATGTACTTTGCCGTAGGAGCCTGCTCACATCCTGATCAGCTGCGTATGGCAAAGGCAGCAGGTCCTGTGTAGAGTGGGGGTGGGGAGGGGTGGCGGTAGTGGTGGTGGTGGAGGTGGTGGAACCTCCCCGGAGCTGAATGAATAGGAGTCAACTTTGAAATGCCTGAATGTTCTTAGGTATTGCACACAGTGATATATTGTGGTTACACTGAATAGGTTTTCTGGCTGGGCATTTAGCTCAGTGGTTCCACTGCCTGCTTCGAAAGCACAGGGTCCCGAGATCGATCCCTGGTAACACACACACACACACACACACACACACACACACACACACAAAAAGACCTTGAATAGGTTTTCAATTCCCTTCAGCATTCTTCTTGGACCTGTCACAGTTGATTTGTGATCAGGGATTGAAAGTTAGCTTTTCCTATTAGATAAATGTTTTTTAAATAGAATTTCATGCCAAGTAGAGTGTCTGTTTTAGGGGAGAGAAGTTTCTCTTGAACGAAGCAGTTACCTTAGCTGAGTAGAAGCCACTGTTGAATTTAGTTTAAATGACAATCACCCTTCCCTTAGCGTTGGCATACCTTGTTGTTTATTTATTTATTTATTTTGTCCTACCTTTTGAGCTTCTTAGAGTGAACCAAAGCTGTTGAGAAAGGGATTGGGAAGGTGAAACATGGACACTTCAGTTCTATTTTCAACTATGGTACAGGTGGTGTTTGCAGCACCTAATGTTTATGTGTAATTCAGTGTTTTATGGGGATTGTGGTTAGGACAGCTGGAGTCCAGGCTGTCTCACCTCGTCCTTGAAGTGAGCTGATTGCTAGACCTGCCCACTCCGCAGGGCGAATTGAGTATCATGACAGACTGCTAAGGGAACCTATCAGAGCCAACATTAGTGAAGGAACACACTAACTGAAGACTAAGTAGGCTCTTGGGTCCTGCTAGCCTCTTTTCCTGGAGCTGATTGTCTTAACTGTGATCCAGTTTAGCAGGCCTGCCCCTGCTTTGGGGAAGAAGGAGGGGTAAAGTGATAGACATCAGTACTTTTAGCTCC